CTCCTCCTCCTCTCTCCCCTCCGCGGCCGCGCAGCGTCAACATCCGCCGCGGGCCGCCGCTTCCGGCCGCGCCGCGCATGCGCAGTCCCGCCCCACGGAGGAAAACCCGGCCTGGATCTCCGGAGCGGGGGGCGCGGGATGATGTTCTTGGTGGTGTCTCTCCGTTAAAAAAAAAAATTTAAATCCACTAATATATATTAATACTAAATACTTAACAGACCTAAAGTTACGGCTGCGCTATGATACCCCGTCACAAAGTTTGTCTTTATATTACAACCTTGCCCCGAAAAACTCCCGTTTTGTAAAAACGTCCAAAAAAATTAACAAAAGGGGTCTTGGTTCAACTCTCTATAAAATTTTAATGACTGTGCTCCTGTTAACTAAATATTGGAAACAGAAAAATAGCGAGTACTACATAGGCTCTTTTTAAACAATAAATAAGCATTATTTTTTTTTTTTAAACAAGAATTGAATACAAACTTTACACATCCAAAATACAATATACAACCTATTTCGAAAAGGACTCATTGATTACAGAAACATAGTAAAACTATATTATGACCTGCACGTAAGCTTTCCTATAGAAGCTGCCCGTGGCAGCTTTGTTGTTCAAGTTCCAGGGGCAGGTTGACTGATTTTTACTCATGTTGCTACTGGGGTAAGAGCGCTGGCTCCATCATTTGACTAGATGCGGGATTCAAACAATACGATTCAGTGGTGTTAGATGGTTAGTTACCTTTTTAAGACCGAACAAGTGTGAATCTTCCAAAGATTCTGTGTTGAACCAATTTTATCTTTCCAGAAAGGCTGATGTAGTAAGGCTGGAGTACGATTTTAGACTTAAGCCGTATTTTGTCCAACTGGGAACATTTTCTAACATCTGTCACCTTCAAAAAAACAAGTCGTATGGACTGTCTTAATTCATTAAGACTACAACAGCAGAAGTTAACAATATATACAAATGAAGTTTTACCGGTTTCCTATAATGCAGCAAACAAAAGAGACTCCCATAAAAAGGATTTCTTTGTTCTCAAACTTCACTTAGAAACTCAGCTTAACATACAGTTGTTCTGTAGCATTAGTAAAGTTCACTAACAAAAGACTTTGCTGTACACCCTAAATAAACCAAAGTGTTCAACAGTTTTGTCGCCATTGTTCATGTGGTATTTAGTTGACTTTGTCTTTCAGTCTCAGCTTTTTTCTCCTGCCGGTGGCTAACTGCAGCCCAGAAGGTTATCTTTTTCAGCACTTGCTGCAAAAGTTTGGATGGCAAGCATGGTATTTGATTCTTTAAGAGAGTTGCGTTTTTACCAATGCAGTCAAGACACAACCTGAAAAAGGAAGAAAAAAAAAAAAAAAAAAAAAGATTTAAGTAAATGGTCTCTAACCAAAAAAGTGACATCTAATAAAAGCTCACGATGGTCATTACATGTGTTGTGCTTGCATGTGCAGGAGAGAGCATTAAACACCACCAGTGTTTAACTGCTGTGGATTGCCATATGTTGCATGTTTCAAATATTTACTGAGGAGGTAATTTTATATTTTACCAGCCTATGTAGGCGTCTGTGGTTAAAGCCCGTGTGTAAAAGCAGAGTGCCATAACGATTTACACTAGACTGTGCCAATAACCCCAACTCACCTGAGGAGTGAGTAAGGTTGAGTCTGAAATATCAACAAGTCACTGCAGTGACCCTGAGCAACAGAAAAAAAAAACAAAAACACCGAATTAAAATGACAAACAGCCTATCTCAGAAATATTGCTGTTTTCTAGATTAACATTTATTACCACATGCATAATTTAAAACTGAAATACCTAAAATAATTATTCATAAAGAATCTGAGTAACAAATTCCTTTTAATGAGCCTAAGAAGGCAGGAAAAACCCCTCCTAAATTACTTTCCAAGAACACCTAAGGTCGCATCTTGACCCACCATATGATATGAATCAAACCCATAATATCAGCAACTGTATTAATTTTATTTTACATTAATTTTTAATTATCATAGTGATAGGGTTTCATTATTCAGTTTACTGACCGTGTCCATGAAATGCAAGTCATCTTTGCTTCCACCAAACACCATCACTTCTCCTTCTTTTCCAAGGCAGGCTGTATGCCACAATCTAGAAACAAAATTAGAAATAGAATTAGTGACCAAGTAACGAGCAACAGTCATCAGCAAAACAAATCTAAACCCAAAGTGGTTTCAGGGTTTCAGAGAAGCAGTAAGTTTACTTCTATATTAACAACTTCTCCTCAGAGACTCTCCTCCATTCTTCACATTCAAGGGTTTGTTTTTGGTTTTTTTTTTCCCAAAAGACTCTTGCTATAAGGATAGAAGTTCCTCTTAACCAAAATGGAAAGAGCACTTTTCCAATCCTGTGATTCCACTACATATGCACGCAGAGCACTGAAGCCTTACTGGCCTCCCTACTTACCGAGAAGAATATTTGATTTTATTTTATCTTACAAGTCGCTCTGTGAGGTGCAGAAGGTATACATCCTTTATCAACCTGCACCTCGAGGCAGAGCTTCTGTTCTTAGGGAAGAACATAGAATAAGTGCCGAGCACTCACTGGAGCCAACCCATGATAAGAGTCTCTCTTTTCTGTTTGGCCACTTTTTTTGCACCAGAGTATGTTGGGACTTTGTATCTCTGAGCTTCCTATTTCTTCATCAAATACCACAGAAATGGGCCAATTGATTCAAAATGTACACGGGCGGGAGAGGCAGCCAAACGTGCACAGAGCCCTGTGATGTAACCCTTACTTCTTAGGAAACCAAGACATTATTTCAGAAGTCTTCTGAGGTAAAAAATAATACCTTAAAATATGATATTACTCATTTCTTTAACAATATAAAAGGAGAGAGCAGTGTGACTATCCATCTCATGATAGATCACTTTGCCGGATGATTACATTACATACAGAACAATGTATTTTTGTCATTATTTGATTCTTCTGTACTCCAGTTATGTAAGTATAGTTCTATATACTTTGTCTTATTTATCACTACTTCAACAAAATGTTATACTGGAAAATTTTTAGAAAACAAAATAACTATACAAAACAAGCTTTTGCCAAGAACAGCTCTTTTTTTTTTTCTTCTTAATTTTTCCACTATTTCTTTAATTAATCGATGCTAATGGCTTTAAGGCTGTGGGGTTTTCAGTACTGACTCTTATCCCTGAACACTAGGATGAGAGCTTCAGAACACAAGTTACCCTGTTTCCATTTTACACTTCCCCCAAAGATTCCTGGGGATCATTTTCTGTGTGTCAATTATATCACACCCACAAGTAAATTTTGTGTTGTGCATATAAAAGCACATGGTCTAAAAAAACCCCCAAAAACAAAAAACCAAACACCAAAAAACCAAAACAAAACCTGACTTGTAAAATCTTGCTTGAACAAAGATTCTGCTACTCCAGCAGCTGCGTGTTGCTAGATTTACTTTTTATCAAAATCTAATTTTTCTACTGGTGTGTCACCACTGAAGTAAGTATCACAAGATGATTATCACCACAGAGCTCTGGCCCTTTGTCTACTTAACAAAATAATATGTACCACTAGAACTTTCATGCAGAAGTCAACATTCTCACTTTCTTACTCCACTCATATCAGTAATTATTCACCATTCTCCTTAGGCTAAACTTTATCCCACCTTTTCCCTTCCTCATACCTGTGGATAGATCTGTCTCTGCCTTAATCTGCATTAGGAAAACTCTGGCCTGGACTTCATCATCGAAGAACACTGGGAAGCCTTTCCTGCCTTGACTTTGTTGGCATCCTAGCTCGCAACCTGATGCTTTTTCTACAGACTGACAGAGTTTATGTCCTCTCACAGCTGCTCTAACTTATCACCTAAACATTCTAATAAAGCATGTTATTTAAATGATTCTAACTAGAATAACAGAATTACATTGCAATGAAAACACTGGGCATCTATACATTAAATAGACAATTCGTTCTGTGTTTTAACCTGGCATGCAAAATGTTAGCTGAAGTACAACTGATGGACAGAAAGAATAAAAAAATATTTTCTACCCATACAGAATTACAGCTCTGTAACCTGGAAGACAATTTTTTAGAAATTATGAAAAAATGAAGGCTGAAGGAAATTATTCTTCACAGAATTTAAGGAGGGAATCAATCTGGCAGAAGCATCAGGAAAATACACAAACGCATGTGATATACCATGGATTATTAGAAAATGACAGAAATATATAATATAAAAGAAGTATACATATATTATTGCCAGTGCATTCCTGCTGTAAAGTCAAAGAAGCGACAGGACTGACTTAAACCTTTTCCAGCTGCAGAGATTCTGCAGTAATCCTGTGTAAGAACAGGGGTACAATTATGGTACAGGTACTTCACATTCAGACTAGTTCAATATATAGACAGGCTTTTGGTATGGCTCGTTAGTTACGGGAAAAAACTACTGAAGTATCTTTTTTTTTTTTTTAAAAAAAAAGGGGGGGGGGGCAAGGTCCTTTATTTCAATGAAGAATTAGGTCAGTGAAAGGCAACTGCCCTCAGCCTACAGACTGCACACTGAAATCTTCAGATGGTGGAGAACCGTAGGACATGTTTGGACTGGAGGGAGCTCCGAGCCTCTTGTCAGCACGTGACCCAGAGGCTCTGGGCTGTGCAGCGCCCAGCAAATTTAGTAGCTTCAACCCTCTCTGGTGCTTCTGCTGCAGCACGGAAAGGGTTCAACAGCCTCTCTGCCAGTGCAGCCCAGTGACAGTTGCACTTTGTAGTCTGGGATCCCCCCAGGATGGGATCTGCCCTTGAACTGCCTGAAACCCACAGGCTCCTGACATCCAGCCCTACCACCACCTGAGGCACAGATGTTAGTCCAGCTTAACTGCAGAGTAAAGGCTGAGCTGCAGCTCCTGAGGCTGCTGCCTGTAGAAAAAGCACATTCTGTCCCTTCCTGATCCTTTTTCATGATGCACCAGTAAAAATCATTACAGAAGGTGAAGCAGTCCGCTTCAGCAGTTAACTTTTATGGGACTATCCATGTAAAGAACTGAACACAAAGACAGGCATGATCCTTGACTGCTAATGATGTGCTTTGTTACTTAAGGCAGTTGCCAGTCCCTTCCTGTACCAGTTCACTGATCGTAAAAAGACAGAAAATATTCTATGAAACTAAGGTGTAAGTTTATTTGGGCTTGAAAGAGTTTGAAATACAAGAAAGCAGAAAACTTGGTCTAACAGTGCTGTTATATTTAAAAGACACCGTAGAATGGGATAAAACAGGAAGAAACTTAATTGAGGTAAAGATAATTCAGCAACAGAAAACAGAACATCAGGCAGGAAGCATGCAAATGCCGGACCAGAATTATACACTGTGCTAAAAGAATGATACAAAATTCTGCTGAGAGTACCTGGGTGAATGTGTGGAATGAATTCTACAGCAAAACAGTTCAATAGTATTTACATTATAAATACAGAGCATACTTCAATTACTGTGTTAAAAAAAAAAGTCTGTGCTCTGATACAGCAAGCACCTGTTTTCAGGGGCAGCTGCTGGTTCAGAACATGAAATCTGCTTTATCAGAAAGAATCTTTTTCTGCAGTCTTAAACTAGAGAGGGAAGGGGAAGAGAGTTTGGAAGAGACAGCATTGTTGCCAGTATGAGCAATACCCATTCTAGAACTAGGTCCTTTTCGGTTGGCAGTCCTACAAATAACAAAACTCCACAGTCATCTACTGTGCTGTTTAGTGCTAATTCAGTTTTCCAAAACCGTAATCATAATTATCTGCTTCTGCTCAGGGAAAAAAAAAAGAACAAACAAGGTATTCTGTAATATTTTTGAACCCCGAAAGGTACATCAACATTTTCATGGTTGTCTCCCCCATGTTTCTAATAACGTATCAATGTTCATCAACTTTTATTACTTTCATAGGTTATTAATTCTTCAAAAGTCATGTGATACACATTTTCTTACATAAAAATATTTTGGCTACAGAACATCAAGGTTAGCTGGACATCCAGATCCTTCATCACAAAAAAATCTTTAAATACAAGTAATCAAGTATAACATAGAAAGTAATAATGCTGTTATCAGGTATGAAGGAACAGAAGTTAGTAAAGCAAATTATTCAATCATACTGCATTGTTTTTTCAAAAATACTCTTTACAATGTAGTTTAAAAACACGGTTCAATAATTTAAATTTACTTCATTTCTTAAAATGCCTAAATTTCAGCAAGCATCATCTATTTTTGTATACCTAGGCCTACTCTTAGGCAAATGGGTAAGTTGTTTCCATCCATTTGTTGTAATGCTGTGAATCCAGCCATCACCTACGATATAAGAACATACATTAGTACTTTTTCTCTGGACAAAGCATTAGCTTTTTTTTTATATATACAAAAATCTCTGTGTTCTAAGAGCAGATTATATTAAGAGAACAGTACATTAAATTACAAAGACTGAAAAGATGCAAGCTAACTTAACGTTTCAATCACAAAAAGCTCACTCTGTTGAAATCTGGAATTAAAACACACTTCCCATTTTTCTGTTGGATATGTTGAGAAAATTGTCCCCTCCCAGTGGAATATCTTGTGACACTCAAAACTATTTTCACTAATTTCACATTTTTTCATGAAAAGAAGTTGCCTTTTCTGGAAAAAGAACTCAGTATATGACTGTCCTACTTCCTACTTAATATTTTATAGCTGTGATTTGTTATTCATCTCAAAATCTTTATTATGTTGACATTATTTGTATCTTTTTCCTGCAATTCTATTGATATCAAGTTACCTCCTGTTCATATCAAAATACATCAGACTTTTGCCTTTATTCTCTTAGATGATCACTTGATGAAAGATTTATATGTTCTCACTGTACTACACAACGTGCTCCTATATTTCTATAAAAATGATGAGATAGCTAGAGAAATACTCAGGCACCAGAAAATTCTGTAACAAGATTTAGGTCTAACTTGTCTGAGAAAAACAACAGATGTGCACACTACATGAGGTGAGTACTGAAGTATACAACAGAATTACAATCTCTAAATTACTTACTTAAAGGAACATTATCAGAACTTAGTCCACCAAAAAGAAAAAGTCTGTCATCTCCTATCGGAGTCAACGTGTGCCAGGATCGATCTTTTGGTTTCTCTCCACTGATATTAATTCTTGGTGAAACAAATAAACAAAAACAAATTTTCAAAGAATGTTGAAAATTAACCTGCCAGAAAATGTAATAGTTAATTCAGTTTGTCCTAGAACAAGCCTGGATTATTTTCCCCACGAAAAAGCTCCACTTATGCAATCTGAATTTACTCTCGAGAGGAGTGGTGTTCAAATCTAAATGAAATAATTTCGTGTAGTAAATGTTCTCTGAACAACCAGTTATGTAAATATCAAACATAAGGACAAAAGCACTGACTGTTATTTTGTTTTCTTAAGATCACTGAAGCCACTACTTAATGTACAACTAAAGGCCCTTAGGACAGCAAAGAAAGGACTATATATTCCAATAAACTGCACAGGACACGTAGGCAATCAGACTCAGTTATCTGTGATAAAATTTAATGAATCCTGAGGGGCTACAGTCTCTCCACTCCTAAGAATTAACGATCATAAACGATACAAGGATTGTGGCTTTAGCTTTTACCCAAAAGCTACTACCTCTTCAACCGCTGTGCCATTTAACACAGTGGTGGGTCACCCAAACTTTATAAATTTTAGTAAAAAGTGGAATTCCTAAGTACAAAACAGAGGGATGTTTATTATTAAAAAAAAATCTTTTCATGTTACAAAAACACAGATTTGGTACCGATTTCATTTTAGCTGCACAGTTCATTATGCTTGAGATAAGACTTGAAAGAGAAAAGAACCTGAACATAAGGGATCTCCTATAGTGGGTGGCCTGAATTCACCACATCTTAGGTGTAGTCATCTTAGGAGAATCCCAACAGAGTCAGCAGGGAGGAGTTAAAGGCCTCCAGAGGGCATCAGCCCACCTGCTATCTTGATACTAAGCAAAGAGGCAACTCCTGTTGTGAAACACCTAAGGTTAGACACAAAGAATTTAGGCCACCGCATCTGCAGTATGTCCTTATTTTGGAAAGATAATGGAAAAAGCAGGTGCAAACCCTTGTAAGCTCTCTTGTGGTGTCAGAATCTTAAACAGAGACTGTTCAGAGCAGAAAGGAATGTTCAATCCAGGTAGACTATATCTCAAAAAAAGAGTTTCTTTTTTTTCCGCTTTGCTAAAGTGAGTGCAATATACACAGATGTGTGCTCATCTACAGTAGGAACAGTGCAGACAGTCATCTCTATTTCCTTTGTAATCGATGAAGAGAAACAGGTCCCTGAAAAGCACAACTTGTGATTTATTTTAGATGTCTACCTTAGCAGCAGTTGGCTCGTGCCCAAAAAGTGCCTGTTTCTCTTAACTGAGCACAGAGGAAGCCTCGGGTGAGTAATAGAGGCATCTGCAGTTCAGTTAGAGGAATTTCACTACTGGTGACTGCTAAGCAGTTCTCCATCTGGAAGCAAAGCCTGAAGAATCATAGCTAATTAAACAGCGACTGCAAAACTGTCCTACTAAATTTGGCACTGAAGTTGAAGCCAAGTCACAATGTTGGAGTGCCTGCTTTGCACAGCTCTTGTATAAGATGCTTCTAAAATTGGCAAAGGGGCAGACTGTGCTGAGATACAACAGGCTTTGATGTTTAGAAAAATATATACCAGATACTGATGGGTGATAACGTTTCAATCTTTCACTCTACTGATGCAAAAAAAATTATCACAGTAACAGAAATAATGTAATATGAACATTTCGAATAACAGGTCAGTGGAGCTCTGGGAAGGTGAGGTAACTTCTGGGTAGTGGCAACTAAAATGCATATTGCAATCTCATGCTGGAAGATATTCCCGGATTAATAGGTTAGTATTACACAATTCCTTAAGAAACCTGCAGAGAGTTGAGTAAGAAAAAATAGTTGACAAGACTGGTTAATAAGAAGTCACGGGGCTTTAAATAAAGTCATCGTTGCATTTGGAATGTTTCTTTTAGGAGAGGATGGCCAATAAATGAATTTGAATGCAGGACTGTACAAACCCAGTCCTCCTCGCTGGGAGATCTGTACTTTACAGAAGAACTTCAAACACCTGCAGTCAACTTGCCTCGGTCAGCAGCGTTCAGACAGCGAACGTTTTAATCTGTGTTAAATCCTCGTTTGGTGATAACTCACATGGCAATCAAAGACAATCTCCCTGCAGCTGCAGAACGGCTGAGAATTCTGTTATCTGCATCTGAAAGGCTGTATCCTGCCCGATTTTTAGTTCATCATTGGATCAGAAATCTCAGTAGAAAGGAATTTGAAGCTATAGCATAAGAAAGAAAAGGTTCCTTGCAAGAAACCCTTAGAGGAGAAAACAGTCACCCCGGCAGCAAACAAGTTTGAAGGAATTTCCCCACCTGTAAAACACTGGAATGGGTTACACTAGGGCTCTTTACAGGCACTTTTCCACTGGAAATGGATTGTCTGATTAAAACTATTCAAAACTATTGCTGGTACTCAAAGGATAGAGAGTGGTTTTTCTTTACTTTGTGTTCCTAATGTGTAACTTCGCTGGTCTCAGCAAGCATTTCTCTGCTATATAAATTTCAGACATAAAAAAAGGAGAGAAATAAAACCCGGCCTGTTTATCTGTCTTACTTTACAATGTGTGTGTGGAATCATGGGACTTTGGGACCAAGTTCTTTATATTCGAAATGATCCCTACAAAAGCCCAGTTTCTAATACAGCCACAAGTATTGATTTTTATGAAAGGAAGCATGAAGCCAGAAATAATTTTCCAAACAATTTGTGCAAAGAGGGACTATAAATTGGAGTCAAAATATAAATGCTAGTTTGTTATTGTCCCGAAAGATACACTGAGTTTTGCTCCTGTTGTAATTAGGAGATGAAATCACGCAGAGGTATTGTATGCTTGTGCATGATGACAGGTGGTCTGGTAATACAAGATGATTTTACTATGGTGGATATTTAATAGCCACAAATTATTTGTCAAAAACATCATCTAGTTCTGTGAGAGTACCCTTTTACCACCCCCCATGATTTCCAGCTGATGATGGCTAATCTACATTTTGCCATCTGTGATAGTCTGAATTATATTTCACAGGTTTCCCTAAGATCAGTCACTTTAGTAAGGGAAGAACAACACTCAGGCCTGTGAAGCTTCCTAAAAGACCAGCCTTTGATTAGTCACTCCTCTAGATATGAACAAATAAGAACACTTTACCTCCTGTGAGGTGCCACCACAGCAGCAAAGACCCTCTTTTTTCCCTAATCTCTTAAATCTTTTTTTAGTCTCTCTTAAATCTTTTTTCAGTCTCTCAAAGACTCCGTGCAGAGGTGCTAGAGAATGGCTGGATAGTAGGCTCCTAAATTTATAATGATCAGAGTCTATACTGAATTACGGGCAAGTCTTGTGAGCTATTTGTGGATCACAATATAGAAATAATAGAGTACTGGAACAATCTGCAGTTTTTAGGAATGGCTGCACTCAGTATTCCCATCCTTAGTCTAAGTGTATGTATGTAAAAATCAGTCTGTTGTATTTAAGTCAAGAACAGAAAACAGTTTTAAAAACCTTCAATATCAGCTTTCAAATGCCAAACAAAAGGGAACACTGGCTGATGAGGACTTAAGACAGGACTTTGACACTGACATCCCTCCTTCAGGGCTTGAAACTTGCCACTCAACTGTCACAGGTTTCCTTTTTTAAAGCAACAAAAAGCAAGCCAAACAGCAACTGCTCATGCAACAACAACAACAACAACAGAAAGGAAGCAGCTAGAGCAATAATCTGAATAATCAATCCACTCAGAGGTAAAGTCTCAGAGTGACAATGCTGTCATTTAGGTAGAACATTGTTAATTTTAAAAGAACTAGCAAAGAAAAGGGGGAATGAAACTGATTAGTTAGTCATAAGTGCTAATTAAAGATTCGGAGACAAGTTATTTTGAAAGGACACTAGGGGACTTCTTTGTCCTGCTGCCATCAACAGCAAGGAGGAATGTATGGAAGATTGAGTCCACTCCCTCGCTTCGCTCTCGGCTCAGAGGGCAGAGGAACACACTTGGGGCAGGATCAGATCAGCAGGCAGGAGCGAGTAAAGATGCCATCACGGGCATGTAAGGCCCTGGAGCAGGATCAGTACTGAAACATACTCCAGAGAGGTGTATTTCATGGTCTTTTATGAAATTACTATTAGGTTACCTTGGGAATAGGAACAGAACAGTGGTTATCACCCATCAGTTCCTGTTTATCTCCTGGTTAGTCTATCAACTAATGATATAGCCACTAATTCTACACATGTAGTAGGCACCATCATAAATCCTATATGCAAAGAAATATTAGGGAGTATACTAATACCTGATTTAGTTTAAAACTGAAATATTTAGGTCACACCTTTACTTAATTTTTAAAAATATATGGTTAAGATGTTGATCTTGGAAGGGGGGGAAGATCCGTCCCCAATCTGCAACCATAATGAGTCAAATATAGATAGTAAAAGCAGTATTCAAAAAGACATCAAAACCAAAATTCCATATGGATAAATGTACCCGTCTTGAAAATGAGGATGTTAAATCACTACATGCTGTGCTTAAAATAGCATCATCAACGCTTTGGTGCAGAACAGAAAAAGCTTAGTAACCACCACCAAATTAAATTAAATTGAAATCACAACATAACAGCTGTTAAAATAGTCCCCAAACTCCCATTCTCCTCTTGGAAAAGCTACAAAATTAGCACTGGAACTATTTAACAATATGTTTCAATCTGCTACATTCAACTTTAAGTGTTATAGAGAGAAACCTACCTTCCAGACCAAGTCCAAGTGTCTAAATTCAGGCAGTGCAAATCATTCATTCTAGTTTGCTAAAACAAATAAATAAAATCCCAGGTGTGTTATATTAAGAGAACAATGAGCAAAGTATTTCAACGAGGCCTTCCCAGGACAGAATATTCCAAGTAACAATATTTTGAAGAAAACTGTACCCATGTGCCTTAAAACAACTCTGTGTTATGTGGCAGATGAAAAGCATTTCTTCTCAAAAACCCCATACAACTCTCAAAAAACTACCTGTGAGGAATATTTACAGTAATGCAATGGCAGTTTGGGGCCCATTTTAGCTTTTAATAATAGTCTAATAGTGAAGAACTAGGTGATATTCTGTTCCTGCAAATGTATTCAGTTTTTTATCCACAGAATTCATGGTAGGTAACTGCAGAAGGTATAATACTCTACATATAGTTTCCTCTCATTATTTTTCTTTGCATTCTGATCAGAACTCTGCATCCTCCTGCCTGGTCACTTATTCCTTGAAATATTCTAGTAGGTACTGTACTCAGTGCATGACATTCCACAGTAAATTCAGCACATCTGTGTTCTCTCTTTTCCAGAAGACAAGCCCTTTCACAAAGTTACTACTAGCAGCAACAAGGTTTTATGAGTGTTTAGCATTTGCCATAAAAATAATAAAATGTATCAGCAAGAATGGAAAAATCAATACACTTGCATATCTGCCTTTGTTTTGAGACGAAGAAAGTAATTGCTTTAGAAACAAAGTGGGGGGAGAATGTAAGAAAGAATTTCTTTGCTTTAGACTGTAGCAATATTTTCAATGGCTCGCAATACACTTGACTGATACTCGTGATTCCCCTAGGTACTACAAAACAATATCTGAGAAGAAGGGAAACGTATCTTGCCTTACCTTCCAATTTCTTTTCTCCTAGGGTAGTCCATAGATCTATTAGAATAAGCCTTTCTCCAGCTTGCAGATCCTTTGAGGCAGAAACTAGACTTGTCATTTAAGTCAGAATAGGAGTAGTTTTACCCCTGAGAACTCAGCCAGTTAGTGAGTTTGAGAGACTTCCAAAGCTGTCCATCAGAGCTATGGAAAGTCTCTCGGGGTATTTCAGGAAACAGCAAGGTTTTCAGGATAGCTATGGGCTCCTCTGATCAAGTACATGCTAGCCCTTTTCTGTCCTAGGGAAGAGAATGTTAACTAGCATTTTGGAATGCCTTCAGCGAGGCCAGTAGGCTAAAGAAAAGCAGAACGTGAGGGCTTTTGTGCATTGCCTGAGAAGCTTTATCCCCACAAGAGGGTGAATTTAACAATACAGTGTGGTCCAGCTGACAGCTCGCGGAACAGAGCTGTCTTCCATGACAAGTCTGTTCAGTTTCCTGCTCCTTCAGGTGGCTTTGAAGGAGATGAGGAACAAATTATACAAGCAGAAAGAAAAATTCAATTACTGAGTATCTTCTGCTGTACCTGTAGACAGCTAGACACTTGGGGGTAGCGTGGGGAAAAAGCAACATCCTGGCCTCTAGAACTGAAAGTATTTAATCATCTTGGAATAACACAGTTCAATATGGAGGACATCTATTAAAGAAAGGGAAGAAAGAAAGTTGCTGTTGTGTTGGAAATTAAGGTTTCAAGAAGATCCTGTTCAAGACCTCCTCGCTGACTTTCCTTTCCTAGGCATTAGGCAGAAGATGGAGTAGTTTTCAGTTTCTTGGTCCCTGGGAAATCAATGTATTATAATCTTTACATTCTCATGATTCAACAGATTGACAGATGCATAATTACATCAACCTCATTTTGAATTCAAAACACAGCATCAGTTGGACATTTACATCTAAGATTCAGTCCTTTAACATAGCTTTAACAAATGAAAATGCCTTTCTACCCGACCCTTATTTGGGAAACTGTAAAGCACACAGTCAGGCTGTAGTATCGTCACTTGCCATATGCAAAGTTTTCTTGCAGTTTCTCGTGTATTTCTAAATGCTATCTACTATATTTAATCTTTTTAGCTGATAATCCTAAAATGACTCTTAATTGGTTTAAAAGCATCAAGCCTCGTAAGAGGGTTTGCATTTTCCTTTGAGCTGCAAGGACTCTACTTATCTACCACATGTTCATTTATTTGCAGCCCAGCAAACATTAACCAGGATCTGCTTTGTCTCAGGATTAGCTTTCTAGCAGGATGAAAGGCATGAAGGGTGACATATTTACAGCTCGCTGCTGTTACAGTAAACTCTGTGCAGCTCTCCATTCTGAGATTTACAATCAAACAGCTATTACAGCTCAAATCTTTCTAAGAGGATTGCAGTTCAATGTATCTTCTGATCTTCAGTGACAGAAAGGATAACAGGAAATATAAGCATGCATACATTAAGGCATCAGATGTGTGAAGAGCTGCTGGAAAGACTTTATTACTTCATCATTCACTACATGAAAATTTTCCACTTAAATCAAACATGAGACTTGCATCAACTTTTGGACTAACTCTCCTTCCTTCCCACTTTCTCCCATTTCTGTTTTTTCAGGGGCTTACCTGGAGGAACAGAGTCCACATAATACTTCTGAGCCTGTTTTCAAATGATTCCTGGTACAATTGATTTTGATCATCACCATCTTCTTTTACCAGTTCTAGCTCCAAGTTTGGAAAAAGGTGCCCTTTCCTCCCAGAAAGATGAATAGGAGAAGCCTCATGACACTTCCTGGCCCTTTCTGGTTCCTTGTAGAGCCTTTTCCCTGGGAAGATTTGTATTATGGTGAACTAGAAGGAGAAGGAGGAGCAGAGCAACCCCGTATTTGCTCCTTAATTTATGGAGAAAAGCAAGACTTCATCCTTTGGGGAGGAGTTACTCCTGTTGTCAGGAAATGTTGTGGTTTTCTGATGTCTTTAGCTTTCCTGTTTCATGATTTACATTAATTCCTCAAGCCCCCACTGAATGTTCCCTAACCTTTCTTAAGTTTCCTTCCATTTATTTCTAGGATAGAAAGCGAATCAATAATAATCTCTAAGGTGAAAATTACGCTTGCCGCTCTCCTACAAAATTAAATACAGCTTTCCAAAATTTCACTCTTCTCTGACATTGTTCCCAAGCGGTTTCACTGAAATTTAGCAAATGGTTATTAAGGAGGCTGACGCTACCTGAGGAAGAGAAAAACCTTTTCAGTTCAGAGCCTTCTTCTATTTCTGAATCCTGTAGTCAGAGTTAAACAGAAGCCAGAGGACAAGTCCTCTTAGGGCATATCTAGTCATGCAACAGCACAGTGGAGAACTAACAAGTGAGCTCCAGTTAACTAATAATTCCTCTTGCAGAGGCTGCACGAGAATCCTAGCTCAAGTTACAAAGCAGTTCAGTTGCAAGAGGCACAGTGCAGCACCCCTAACTAGCTTGGACACCACACTCAGTGCTATTCTGTTTCTGGGGTGAAGACCTCTGCACCATGCAGAGCTAGCCCTTGCCAGTAAAAAGCCAGAGGGAGCAAGGCTTTAAAGTTGAGGAAGTGTTCAGAAATAAATGGTAGGCCAGAAAGTCCTGAGCTGCGTGTTTACTTCTTCACACCTAGGTTTCTCTCCCTCTCACGTCTGCAGGTTTGCTAAATGAGGAGCAGGATTCAGTTCAGCTGTGGTTGGCAAGTGTTCATTTATACAGCTGACATGAAAGAGCAAGTCCAGAGCAGAGGCACAGGCATCACTTAACCCGGCACCGTTAACCCTGACCCACAAGATTCAAGTAAGACTAGATACTTTTTCAATCTCTTCTAATATCCCTTCATTTCCTTAGTTAATTGCAAATCAAGTTTGTCCAAGCCTACAGCTCTGGAAGCTACTGTGTGCAGTTCTCTCATTCAGAGGTGGGGCTTTAGCAACAATTCCAGAGATTGTGAGCCTGTATGAAAGGCCACATAACAGATAACACAGAACGGTAAGAACCAACAGGATCAATTCTGGTTATTTTCTTTTCTGATTGCTCTGAAATGTTACTTAGATTAAAACTTTTCCTGCAGCTGTGGGAAGCAATTCAAACTGAAAAACTGGCTGGACATTGCGTGGCCATTCTGAACCTGCCTTGATCTGTAGGTCTGGTTTCTGTCTGAGCAAGCAGGAGTAAGCCATTTTGTAACAGAACTGTAGACTTTCCCCGAGAAGAACACCGCATTAGAACACAGCTTTTACAGCATGAAAAACAGGGGACAGGGAACAAAGTGCAATTTTTACACTGTTTTTTATGCAAGTCCTTGAGAATATAGGGTTTAGGTCATGGCAGCTTTCCAAGATGAAGTTGGCATGTGTTCACTGTAGGGCATTTCCAACCAACAGTTAATTCTTTTTCTTTCGTATAACAAAACTATAGAAATACAGCACCAGGAGCTTTCAAAAGCTTCTTCACTGTTACTTTTCATAGTAGTAGAGATAGAAAGCATCGAGTCTCATCCTCTAGCTGCCTGTGATTAAAGGCTCTAAATTAGCTGTAGGCAAAAAGAGCTAAAAACTTAAATTTAAAAAAAAAAAAGGAAGAGTACACAGTAACTTAAATTAGGAGGTTTTTTTACTTGCCTTACAAAATGTATTTCTCACATTCCTCAAACTGCAGCTCATAGAGACCTTTAAAAATATTATCTTCCCTGTGCTTTTGCAACAGTTCTAAAAAGAGTTGGTACGCTTTCCAGCTCATAAAGAAACTGTCCTTTCAAAAAATTTACAAACGATAGGGGAGCCTGCATTAGTTAAGACTACTACTACCACCATCTTTATTTTCAGACATAAGAGAGGAATAAGTCTTCTGTATTGGACTGCTTCCTCAGGCTTGAGTTCTTACATTAATGCTTCAGCAGAGAACTGAAGAGAAAATCTCCTCTGACTAGTACTAGAAAAATAGTGCTGCTGAAAGGTTTTACTATCTCCTTGCTTACCAGTGGTGGCCTCAAGTTTGTTAGGTACAGACAACCAGGGGGGGTGATGCCTATGACCTTTTTTAAAGTTAAAAAGAGCTAGGTAAAGTTAAGATTTAAAGAATCTAGTCTTAATTTAAATACGCACTGATTGCATCTTATCCAGACAGCTCTTACACTGCCTTTGACTACTACTACCTCAGGGACAACAGATTTAAGATCCTCCCACAGTGTATTAAATGGCACAATCTTGAATCAAGAAAGCAAATACAAGCCTTGCTCTTGTGGTAAAGAGCTTATGTTGGTTCCCCAGAATAAAGCTGTTAACAGCAATCTCTCAGAATAAAGCTGTTAACAGCAATCTCTACGGCGTGCTGCAGATATTCTGTATCAAGGGCACAGAGCATGCTGGAGGTAAAGACTGCGACTGCAAAATTGACATTCAGAGAGCAGAGGAGAGGCTTAACAGGACTGGAACGACCTGTGTCTGCAGTAGCCTGTGTTATCAGATAACATGCTGCAGCATCCTGTACCAGCCTGAGAGTACTGAGCCAAGCAGCTCTGTATCCAGCCATTGTAAACATGTGCTGCTCCTCCAGACAGCTGGATTTCAGTCACTTAGGTGCAAAAAATGACAAAGGTTTAAATTGTAAAGCCAGCTGAAATTTATTACTTCATACCTTTCAGAACCACGTGTGGCAATTGTAAATATAAAATACTGTATCCCACGAGCTATTCTGAACTTCACTTCCCCCGAAGGTAAACACCAGGGGATGAGAGATGTGTATGTGAGTAACTGACTGTTCTTACACATTTCCTCTTTCTTCAGCAGGGCAGCAGAGGGAACACAAGCTAAAATCCCAGTTCTATTTACTACTTGCTACCATTTCATTATGTGAAGAGGGGGGAAAAAAAAAGCCAGCAGGTTTGATGTATAGATCTGCTAAGCTGTAGCAAGCACAGAATGCTAGCATCTCATCATTTATTAAACCTGGTCTATCAGCGGACTTGCTTTTGCTCCACTTTCAAAGAACCATCTCCTAGAGAGGTTAGGCACACATCAACAATTTTTGCTGATTGATAAACATTTGCATTTACCATATGGTCACCTGTTTTTTTCCCTTTCTGGGACAATGTATGCTTCATCATTAATACTACAGACAGAAAGACAGACTCTTCTTTTTGTAAGGTAGAGGGGGATGAACAGCAGCATCCTGGATTCAATGCCCCTAATGTACAGCTTAGGCCAAAGACATTTTGGATTTTTTTTTTTCTGCTACAAAGTAATTTGCTATTAAAAATATAACTGTCAAGAAAATAATATTACTGCCAATAAAATGTTGTAATTATACACTAACCAGCACTCGTCCTCCAAAGATGTAACCTTTATTTCCCAGCACAGCACACGTATGAGCTGCTCGAGGCTGAGGTGGATCTCCACCCTGAAAAAATCAAAATAAGATCCTTCAGAACATCATCGAAGCGCCAGCCAAGGCTAGTGGCAAGTCAGTAACACAGAGACTGCAAAGATAAGGCCAGCATGCATCAGTATGCTGACAGAACTGCAACTTTAGAATGAAATCATTTGTAGTCATGTCCGAGACACCACAGACTTTAGGAGATAACATATAATTGCCAAGGATGACTTTAATTGAGTTGCCTCAGTTGCTAATGTTTAATATATTCCCTCTTGGTCTGATTTATCATTGCTTTACTTAAGTGAAATTCAATTAATTTATCTTTAATTCCTAAGCATAAAATTACAGCAACACATCAGTTATAATTGATATCTCCTGTGCAGCTTTATTTTTCCAAAGTGCAAACCATCAGGAACTGGTACTAAAAATCTCTGGAAATCAGATCTTAAAATCTGATGTTACATCCAATAGCCACATGCCAAAAAATCTTCCCTGTGTAAATCAGAAATAAAGACAGCAAAATTGTCTTTTACTTTTCAGTGGTAATTTCATTTTTTGCATTTAGTTTTATAGGGATTTTAAAACATCCTATAAAGACCATAAAATAGTGTCAGAGACTTATTACAGTATAGTTCTTCTAGTGAGTTCTTATGTAAACTCACCAGGATTTTATGAACCTTTATAGCTATCATATTAATATTAATAAATAGAAATGTGTGCATTACTATTTTAGTGGGAAACTGCGTATACACGCTCCTTTGGAAGACTATTAAAATAACGTATTTGCTGAAGACTATCTGATCTGTTTATTCTAACAGCATAGCATGACTGGGAGATATTTGTTCAAAGGATTTTTCAGCATTAACTCTTGAAAGGAACACAGCAACTCCATATACTCAATGCTCAAATTAACAACTCTATAACCCTCGCATACCAAACATGTATCTTTACTTCACAAAGGAAAACCAAAGGTCTGAACTAACAATGCAGCAAATTAACTCTCCCCTTGCCTTAAGTCTGTGAAAGCTGAACAGTGAACCAAGAGAGACTAGATTTCAAGACCACTGTTGTTCTTTCACCTTTCACACTGACCTCTGAGCTTTATGAAAAGGGGGAGGCAGGGGAAAGGGTGAAATCCCCAAGCAGACCTTAATCTCTCATGTTCTCAGTGATGGGGTATCCACGCTGCAGCTTATTTATACACAGTCATCCAAACAGCTTCATATGAAAACAGCTGAGATACAGGGGTTTGTTAACCTCAGTTTGGCACCACTGAAACCCTTCGTGTGTTTGTACCACACGCTCCCCAAAGACCTTCAGCTTCGTTCCTTCGCTAGGCGTGACAGAGGGTGAACACAGAGCTGGCCTGGGCTAAGGGCTGCGTTCCAGCCCTCAACCTCCTCCATATCCACAGCCCTGGCAAGGACACCCAAAGTCGACAGAATCACCATAATCCATTTCTGCAGGACCCTCTGCGAGGAGCCACTGAAACACCTCCACACCCCGTTCCTCAGCCCCACTCTGGTATTCCTGGAGTACTGCAGTGCCTTGGCTTTTCCAGCAACGGAGCGCTGACAGTAATTTTATATTCCCAACAGTTGTCTTAAAGCTCCAATACAAAGCTTTACCTCAAAAGTATCCCCTAGATACAATATTGTATCATTTTCTGGTGTATCCAGATTTCTAACACCTCTCTGAAGTTTACAATGTTTTTTGCATCAGAACCACATTAGAAGAAAAACACCAGTTTAATAACACCCCATGGAAAAAAAAAAACCCAACCTATATCAGTTCTGAATTTTCCACATTTCAGAGGCATCCTGTTTAATGTAATAAGCCTAAGCAATACAAAGGATATTCAAATGACTTTTCCCACCATCAACTTCTAGAGCACAATACCTATTCAAAATGCAGTAAAATCACAATTGTGTCAAAAGACAAGACTGAAAAACACTCACTCTAATTGCTGGTTGAGACCAAGTTTGTGTGGTTGTGTCAAAAACATGAACATCATTATGCCATCCCCAGAATATCTGTCCTTCCTAAAAAAGAAGTTAAAAAATTAAAAGTAAGTATATTTTATTTTAAAATCTTTGTGCTTATTAAAGGAGGCAAGCTCACAAGTGATCTGTCAAAACAGAAAATGAACTAAAACAGATAATTTTATTAGAAGAAACATGTGTTGATATTTTTAATAATGATGCAGCAGCTCAGGTCTAGTTGAAGGTCAACAGCATTGGGGAACGTTAGGGCTGATGACACTTTTGAAAATGGGCTTTGAGCTCTGACATCAGTCACTGCAGTAGACAAATTCTAACTTCTCATTTTTAGCATAACATACTGAGAAATAAATAGATTGTACAAAGAAATAAATTTCTGTAAGTCGATATTTAACATCATATGTAAGGATCTATACTCCTTTGAATGCATATCTATTTCTTATTAATTCCTGTCACTAAATAACGAGTCTTCTTTTATTAACTGTAAGAAATCACTATAGGAAACTATCTAATCCAGGCATTTAAAGCAATGGCATTTACTCTTGATAACAATTTAAAAAAAAAAATCAACTTAAAGTATTTGTCAGACTTGTAAAGCTATAAATTCCCTATTGTTACTTCAAGGAAATAAATTCTAACATTTTCTGGGAGTTTTGTATTTAAAATATGTCTTCAGATTTAAAATACTGCCTTTGTTCCTGCTTTGACAGCATTTTGTTTCACTGCACTCAAAGCCTAGCACTGGGTACTCAGAATATGCTGAACACCCACTGCTCCCAACACACACTATCTGAAATTTCAAATCTGAGTCAAAAGATTCTAATTTGCATTTCTGCTGATGCTACAAATAAAGAAAAAAAATCAGACAGATTTTCATACTTACTGAGCATAGTACAAAAGATCACGTTTTGACAATCAGAAAGGATAAATCACTCTGAATTGTGACAAATCTCTTACCCAAAATGCATCATGGACATCAAAACAATCACTCAGTTCATTATGCTTCCTACAGCCATAGCCACCAAAATATATTAGCCTAAAAGAACCACAACAAAACAGAAGTTGTTAGCTGTTTTGTAAATAACGTTCAAGTGGATAAGCTGTAGTAATTTATTTCAAATTTTGGTTTACCTGCTGTACTGCTAATAGCATTAAGAACTTGAAATTCTTTGTATTGCACCTAATTATGCAGCAAACCTTACCTAGACGAAGGTTGTAGTTACACTGCTCGAGCCTAACAGAAATGCACATAAGCAAGGAAGAAGGTTCAAGATACCTCACAGTCCCTATTCTCTATTCCTCCATCCACAAGCTTAACTATCACCATCACATTTTCAGACACGAGTCTCAAAATGACACATAACACACAACAGTGAAATGCCTATGTTTCTGCTAGAATTCCTACCCTTTTCTACTGAAATTCCTATGTTCCTGCTGTATTTGTTAGCTTTCTGTATACATCTTTTCACAATAAATGTTCCCGAGGTTCAGCCCACAGACTGCCTGTGACCCACAAAGCCTTTCTCTAGCTGATAAAAAGATTCTTTCAACTAAGCACTACTCAACATATTGCATTGCAAGTATTGTTACACACCTCCCAGCCTAATATTCCACCCATGAAATGGCCATCCATAAGTAATGGTTCCTAAAGTTTTGTTTAACTTCAACATTTGAGGATATTTGGTATAGTTGTTAGTGATCTTGGGAGAAGGCAATTTAGGAAATGATGGGATGGTGAAGGTCATTCCAGACTGACATTCCTAGGGAAACAGAGTTACTGACAGCATTGTGCAATACACCACGACATCCTGATCTGCAAATTCACATCTTGTGAAATTTTAATGTTTACTTCTGAAAAGGTGCATAGCTTGTCCCCAAATACTTCTGTTAAATGAAAAGGTTATACTCTGACACCTAAAATAGGTCATTTTCTCAGTATGCAGATTACATGATACTCTGAATAGATTAAATTAGTTTTAAATAGTCTTGTATCAACAGCTAAGGAGAAGTCGTTCAAATATATGTAATTTCATGTATCTTGCAGTTAAATTACATTTACAAAACCAAGATATAGTACTGAGAGGCATTATACAGTTTATGCAAAACCTCTTTAGATGTGGAATCTAGAAACAGCTTAATCATTTACATTTTATGGTGTTCACTGTATATCATATTCTTGTTTACTGTAACTTTTATAACATGTCACTTCCTTGTGACCAGATATGCCACAGTATCCAGACACTTTCCATAAGAAAACACAAAATCTGAAGTAAAATATTTATTTTTAGCTTATTTTTTCTAAATACACTCAGTAACTTTTACAACACACATATATAGGCTGACTTGGCTCTTAGGAAAGAAAGATAATCACTGAAATGCCTTTGCAATTATCAGCATTTATACACTATTAAAATCCTTTAAAATATACTAAATGTACTTTATTGCAGTTAATAATTTAATGCTTACATAATGCAACAAAAACCACTGTAATTTTTATACTAATTTTTAATGTGCTAAAATTAAAACCGTAAGTAACAGATACATAATGATTTTTATCTAAAGACTCAAAGCATTCCACAAACTTTCACTAATCTCCCAACCCTCTCCTTAAGTGGATTTATACTTACCATTAATTCAGCTCACGTTTCATGTGATAAAAGTCTGGCAGAAAGTTGTTAGGAGAGTTACACAAAATCCCATAGCAAGTCAAGCTAAGAATTAATAGTTTCATGAATCCCAAACCTGTGTGCTCTTCACTTTATAGTACTTCCTCTCTGCAATTAACACATATTAAATATTCTTAATGTGTTACCTGTCCTTATACACCCAGCAGGAAAGCTTGTCACGTGGTGTAGGAGGTTGACCTTTAAAATTTGTAATTTTTTTCCACCTATAGGTTCCATTTTTTGTTCGCAAATTAACATAATACAGCTTAAAAGAAAAAAATTACAATATTTTCAGTATAAATGATGTCAAAGAATCCAGCACAAATCACCAAAAAAAAGAACAACCCACCACCCCCAGAACAGACTACTTACTTTCAAAAAAAACCAAAACTGACAGTGTAGCAACATACAGGAAGAGTCCAATACACCACAAGAACACAGTTAAAGTGTGAGAATTAGCAGCAATTTCCTCACATTCACGCAGCCAGAACAGAACATTAATATCTTGCTCCTTCCAGAGTCAACTGAAGCCTTGCAAAAAACTTCCACAAGACAAACAGCTCCCAGTTCAATCCGACTGGCAGAACTGTCAGTAGTTCTGTCTAACCTAACTAGGTAACTGCCCAAAATCAACAAAGCTTGTGAACGCAGTACTAAACTGACATCTGATTACAGGCTCCAGTTCAGTTATTTTCTAGTCAGGATTAAACTCTGACTTAATTTACACTAGATGATAAAACAGCTCACTTCATCTACTTTGCCACTCCAGTCTTCAGTTACAAGGAAGACTGGTGGCTAGTTATATGAGAAAGGTAATCACTATCAAAGAGCAAAAATTCTAAGATCAATTTCAGTTATGGCTGCCAACATCAAAAAAAAAAAAAAGGCAACTGGGAATGCATTGGCAGTTTTCAGAAATAAATAGAGGAAGTTTCATGTAATAGGTCTTATTCTGAGGCTATGATTCAGTGAAAAATCCCAGAAAAAAAAAAAATGGAGTTGAACATTAAAACAGAAATTAAAGGGTTTTTTTTGTCAGTTTAAAAGTATACTTTTTCTACAAAAACAAAGCTCTTCCTTAAATTTCTCCTTAATGCAAAGTACACCAAACAAAACAGTAAGGTCAGCATTATTATTAATTCAAATACAGTATGTTATGAAAAAAAAAAAAGAATACAATACCCGATTACTGTATCCTTTATCATCAAATCCACCAAAAATATACAGCTTCCCATTAATGCTTGCCCCACAGCTTCCTGACATGGAGGTAGGTAACTCTCCTTCCATTAGGTGCATTGTCCTGCAATTTAGCACATACATTAAGTCTTAGAATGCTGCTTCCAAATCTGCTAAAATTAACAAACGCAAACCAGATGTATTAATAATTTTTAGATTTAAAGCTACAAATGCTGTTTCGGCCATAACTAGGTGCTAGAAACTATAGCTGACGTATGAAGTCAGGCTCCTGCAGTCTAAGAGGACTTTCACACGAATATTGTGTTTATGAAGCATCTAATTTTTTTTTTCTGAAAGTGAAGCCTAAAAGAGCTTTAGAAACTTTAATTATTCAAAACTTGGAAAGACTATTAACTCCAGAAACTCCTGAAGCGAAAACATGATATTGCTGTTATTTTACAAATGGAAAACTGAGGCAGAAGTAGAAATCAGGTCAGAAGCACTCACTAATTTGGGTGCCCAATATGCCACTCCTAAAATTCTGCACTGTTTAGCGTAATAAAATATCTTCAATAATGATGATTTTAGCAGCGAGTTCCCTGCTCAGCAGCAGCAGCAGGCCCTAGCCTTTTCCTTGCTAGCCTCACTCACTTGATGTAACATCACACAACTTCAAGCGCTACACAACTATCTGACAAAACTCAATTTCTGCCGAACTCACAAGGCTGAGCATCAGGCCAAGACTGTGCTTAGGCTTATCACTCCACGTTGAAAACAGCTTTCCTAGGATCTCAAATTTCTACAGATCAGGACCTGCATTTCCCCCTCACACATACAGAGGACGTGTGATTTGTTTAGAATTTCCACCTCATTGCCACACCTGCAGTCTCTGGAGATTTAGCAGCCAAATCCCAGCCTCTCTGTGCTGGCGCTCAACTCCTTGCCCCAGCTTTGCTGTCCAAGCCTCAACTGCTTTCACCCCACAGTTTCTGCCTGAAGCGTCTTTCCCCTGCTGTTCCCATTCATTTTTCTCAGCTTGACACTAGATTTGACTCTGTGCCTTCCAACAGGGTCCTTTGCTCAGTCTCCCTCCTCAGTCCAAAGCTTGATTCCACTTTTTCTTCTCTCTGCTAGGCCTAACACCACCACACTTGCTGATCCAGTCAATTAGTTTCATCCCCTTCTTCAGTGCCTCCACATCGAGATTTTTCTACCACTAAGGGCTATAGAGAAAAGGATTCTTACAGCTTTGAGTTCTGATGCTAGGTTGATACCCCAATCTAAAAGCCCCGGAGGCAGCCATTGAATGTGCCATTTTATGCACTAAATCACAAAAGGTGAATGATGCAGGGGTAACCTGTCCTTACTGAAAACGGTGCCTCACTAAAACTGGCACTGCTCCCAAATACCTTTTCTGCCAGAGGCCAGCCCACCTTCCCCTTCTCTGCTCTTGTTCTCCCATTCTTGCCCGCTCCCGTGCCGTGCAGCACACTCGGCTGTACATGTACAACTCTTTGTGCTGTAAACTGAATGAAATCAAGAACATATCCCAGTTAAAAATAACACTGAAAAAAAGAAAAGTTATATTTAACTCAGATCACTCTCCTGATCCAATTTCTCGTGTGACCATATAAACAGCTGTACCAGTACAACCGATACGGGGATTGTCGGGGTGAAAACCAAGAGAGCGTGAGGTTGCTTTAGCTGACCCTTTCACCAAAAGCAGCAGCAAACCACAGTCTCAGTGAGTGTGCAATGTCTGAAGTTCAGAGTTTTGTTGTGCTTGCTTTAAAAACTCTTGGGTGCTGCTTTATATTCCCCTGGGTAGCCCAAGCTTACCTCCAACAGAATATTATTAATATTGTCATACAGGGAGATGCTTTTTCTGTGTATGCAGTTTCTGTGGACTTGCCCAGTTACACATATACCTTTTAGTGGATGGATATAAGAACAACTGATTGTTGTGACCTGTCTTGCTTTAAATGGTCATGAGAATGTATATGAGGAAAATGTAGCAATAAATGCCATTGTAGTCTGTGAAGTTCACTGTGTAAATGTCAAGTACAGTTCAGTTATTTTAAGAATGACATTTCCTTTGAAAGTGATAGGGAACAGTGATGAAATGGCTGTCAACACTGGGGAGAGAAGTGTCT